TCGCTCTTCCAAGTAATATCAGTCCTTGGCCACCCCATGATCCATCACAAAACCCACTCAAGAAGGCTAGAGGATGACTTCATAATGTTTATTCTTCAAAACCAGACCTCAGGGCATCACAAACTGGAACTGGAGCTTTGTCTGCTTTAAAGACAAGCAACAAAAATTTCATCTTTCACTCAAGTAGTAATTCCATCTTATTGTGTTACCAGGCACGTTACTTTGTACCTTTTACTTGGCACCGTAAGGATTTGCCAGGAGTTTCTATTTTTCACAAAACTGCTCTTTTACTTAACCACATCAATTCTTACCTCCAGTTGTACTGCACCTCCAAAGAGGGAGGTTTAGGGAGACGAGAGAGGACACAGAGGCTCTGCAGCACACACACTGAAAGTCCACCTGCCTGTGGAGCACACACCAGCTCCGCTGCACCCCAACCTGCTATCACAGTTGGCAGCATCCGATATGAGGTTGCACAAAAGGGTAAGACACTTTCTTTTTTTGCAGGCATCTTAAACTTCTGACTCCCTATGAAGCCCTTCTATTTTCAAAACTCCTATCAGCCTCCTACTGAAAATAATTCAATAATAATCCTCTGCTTGCTTACATGCCCATACCAATAGCATCTGAACACATTAAATGAAGAGCACTCATTTGTGCTGCTGTAGCATTTTTCCTTTCAAAGTTCTCCAAACTCCAGTGACTAATGAATCAGGCAATATTTACCCAGTTGCCTGGAAAACAGATACATCTTTTTTAACAGCACAAAGTAACAAGTGAATCATCCACAGAGCCAACAACCTGGAACTCTCAGCTCCTATTAACATACCCCTGAACATGAGTCTCAAAATACTTGCTCATAAGAGAACTGATCTGGTCTAGTGGAAGGTGTCCCTGCTGATGGCAGGGGGGTTGGAACTGGATGGTCTTTAAGGTCCCTTGCAACCCAAACCATTCTATGATTCTATCATTCTACAATCTCTCTGGGACACTCTGAAGATTTACCAACCTGCAACGCTGTGCTCTACCCCTGTTGGCCTCAACTCAGAAATGAAGCACCAGGTATTACAGGAAGGAAGTAAACAAAAGGTAGCAGAGAGCACTCTGTTCAAACTGACAGCAACAAAAAGTAGCCATCACACAGAAGACTGCATTTTACCAGGCATTATTAATTCAATATTCTGTAATCTCTCACACCACTGTTCATTCAACATCAAACGCCTCAGCAAGGACTTCCTAATTAAAACATGGAAAGGCTAGAATAAAACATATTTTTGTCACATTGTTTGTGGGCCTTTTATTGACAATTGAAATAGCATACGTGGCTCTATACACAGTCAAACATGAAGCTATCTCAGCACATGGGAGCAAACACTGACCACTTCAATGCTGCAATCAGTTCTCATGCTGCCCCTTCAGTCTCTAGCAGGAGGCACCTATTTGCCTGCACACACCGATTGAAACCTCCCAAGAACGAGGACCTTATCTGCAATCCTGCACGCAGAGGCGTCCCTGGGTGCGCTGCGCTCAGCGTGGCACTTGATGCGAGCGAGCCTAACTGCACAGCAGAGGTAGGTACCTGGCACTTCCCAGCCTCACATCTCCTAAGCCCAGGCACTCTGGTGACCTCTGCTATCCTACCACAAAGTGACAAGCTAAGTGGCAGTCTCCTCTACTGCATATCAACTGTCTCAGCAAGAAACCAAGTATTTCCCCACATTATGCTGAAAAACTAACCTCTCTGGTCTCCCTGAGACCACTCAACCTGGAACTGAAAGCTCAAGTCTAACCTCTGTCTCAAACCACAGACTCAACAAAAGCCGAAGCCAGGGAAGGCAGTTTCCATGTAAGCCAGCAATTGAGGCAGCTCGCCTCCAGCCGCAAACCTGCACACTCCCCTCCGCCGTATGAAACACAGAACACACTGCCGAGGCTTAGCGATCCACGATTTCCAACAGCGGAGCAGTACGTTCCTGTTTTCTCCTGAAAATGAGGGGAAGAAAGGGAATGACAAGAAGCAAAAAAAGCACCACATATAAACAAAAAATAAAAATAAAAAGACTGCCATCATCACCACAGGGAAGCAGAGACACACACCACAACTCTGCATGTATGCCAGCCTTGCCAATGCTTGGATCTGAAGGCAGAGAAGTCCGCTACAGCGAGATGCGAAGAGCAAAGCCAAAATTCCCTGCTAAATATTGCTGCCAAACAAGCCATTTCTTGTCAATATTTGTAAAACAAATTGAGCCTGTGCTGTAAATATCCCTGCATCTGTGTGCTGTTTGTTTCAGCATGAAGACTTGCAAATAAGCTTCATAGCATGCTTGCACTGGGAGAATAGCTTGAGTTGCTCTGGTAGGACTCAGCTGCTCAGGCCCTACAACTGGCCCTTTGTGGCCGGTGACAGACAGCACTACTGCAGCCTCTCGCCTATTATCACTGCAATGAGCTGGGCAGCAGTTTGTAGTCACCTGCATATACACACACAAAAAAAAAGCAATAAGCAAAGGAAAAAAATCTTTTTAGGAAAAAAAAAATGTTTAAAAGTTACCTCAACACTATGAGATTGATTTCAGAATGCTTTAAAGATTTAACAAGCAAATCAGCCACAAATCTTGGTTCAGGCTCAAACTATTTGTTTGGTTTGGGGGGTTTTTTTGGGAGGGTTGTGGGGTTGTTTTAGGGGGATTTTTTGCATGCATCAAGACCTCCTTTGCCACAAGCTGGTCTTCCAGCTCACCTTGCCCCATGAGACAAATTCACAAACTCTCTTATGACATTCCTCTGCAGGAGGGAGGGATAGAAGAGACATCTCTGAGAAATACCCAGCTACAGTTGGACAGATCAACTATTTTTTCCAGGTTCTCCCCAAATGAGTGGTCTGAAAGGAAGCATTGCTCGACCCTGGAAGAGAGAATTACAGCTATTGCCATGTTACAGCACCCTGTCCACTGCCAGTCACTCAGCAAGTGGTCATCTGATTGTGATGTTACTGGCATAAAAGCAAGTTTTGGGAACCTACAAATCTGCTCCCCACATTTCCTAACCTCTTACAGCATGACCTTCACCAGGCTTCAATCTCTGGGAGTAACTCACCTCTCATTACAAATGGGAACCTTAACTATTTCCCCACCACAGTCAGAGGAAAGGCATGGCAAGCACCAAGCTTCCTATGAAACATACTAAAGCACTACCTGGAGGAGACCTTAAAATATATTTCTTGCAAGTAACTTCCCCAGCAAAGTTTAGTTTATATGACAACATCCAGAAAGGGAGAGCATATTAGGGTTTGATGAATTGAAGTTTACTATACAGCAAAACCAAACACCACATTTCCCTCCTCATCACTTAAAAACTCAGGAGCAGAGACTGATCCATTGAACTAAGTGCCAAAACTTCCCTGGATTTCAAATTGAAGTCCTAAACACTGAATCTTTCCTTTCCCAACCCAGAACTAAAATAAATCCTGGAGATGGTTATTTGCTTCATTGTATTACAGTAGCATTTTGAAGGGCCAGATTTTGAAGGGCCAGCCTCATCATTCCAGTAGATGTACACAGATCACACGCACACACAGTAAGCGCTAAGTCCCCCAACACAGATGTAGCCTACAACAAAGGGGAACCAGAAGACACAAAAAGGTGGAGTGCCTACTCCAGTGTCACAAATGGGGCTGATTAGAGACTAAAGTCAAGAAGCTGGCCCAGTATCCTATTTGGCAGCCATCGTTACTGACAACCAAAAATTGTTTATCAATGCTTTTGTTAGAAAAGGAGATAATATTTCAGAGGTATGTCAGATCTCCACGCAACCTTCTCTTTCTCAGGGTCAATACAATTTATTTGCTGGCTTTTCAGCAGGTGGGAACTGGTACAGGCTTCACTGACCTCCAAGGAGCAGCCCTGCTTTCTGCCAGTGAATTACTTGGAACACTGTCCTCATCAGTTGGGCAGAGCTGAAGGTGTCTGTGCATTTGGACAAGCCTAGCAGAATGCTAACAGAAAGCAGAAGCAGAGGACTCCATAGGAGATATACTTGCTTGGTGGCAGGGGGAAAGCAAGACAGGTTAACCACCAACAAAAGCATATTAACTTTGATTTACTAATGACTTATTCTAGGTCACCGTTTGATGGATGGAGATTGGTTTCAAAAGTATAATTTTAAGGGAGGCACATTATTTTCAGAGCTGACAGATTTCTGCACAGCGTACAATTTGTTCCTACTATGGCAAACCACCCAAACACACAGGCAGACAGCAGGTTGTACCTCTGCAGTGCAAGAAGGGGAATTTGCCACCTGCAGGCAAAGCTCTCAAAGATGCAGAGGTGCACTATGGTACACAAGCTAAAACCACAGGCCACGTGTTATTGAGCAGAACCACAGTGGAGGCTTTCACCATCTGCAAACCAGAAAGTACACACCTGTTGGTTCCTCCCTGCAACAAGCAACCACTTACAAAAAACAAGTTTCCCGCCTTCACCTTAAAAATTGCCATGAACCTATACAAGCACAGAGGAAGTTCTTTAGAGAAAGCACATTTTATTGAGAAACACAAATGGGTGGATGCTTCAAAGTGAAGCAAACAGCCCTACTGCTCGTGCAACATTTGCTGTCGGAGCAGAACTGCATTGCCCTCCAGCTGAGGCACATGTGGGATTCCTCTTTCCCCAGCTTGTGGGAAAGCCAGAACAGTCAGAGTTTTCATGCTGCGTGCCCCCCATGAAAGGCAATGCTAGCTGGGGTCTCCAGCTTCAGGCTGAGAAACACGCTGTCAGAGAAGTGACAACAGCCATAAGGAAAAAATTATTCCCCCCAATGGACCGAAGGAAGAGAGGATGGTAAGATGTAGGTTCCCCACAGCTATGAACAAACTGCACAGAATGATGTGAGTTCAGCTACAGGCAAAAAGTTTCAGAGCCATCAAAAAAGCTAAGTCACCAATAAAAGCCAAAAAGGGAGAGGGGGGAAAAAAAGGAGAAAAACAGCATGACACATACCCACAGTTTATCCAGCTTATAGTACCTCGTCCTTTCACCTCCTGGGCCACGCTGGACAGTAACCTGAGTGAGCTTTCCGCAGCAGCAGCTGGAAAACAAAATAATAGTAAAAATAAATCAACAGCATTATTACTCCACATAGAAAAACACAATGGTGCATTCCTTTGTTCTGAAACACTGGAAGAACATTTTGTGTAATTGGAAGAAACCAGTATGAGAGGGATCAGCAAAATCTTCTGTAAACTAGAAGGAATCCTGGCTGCAGCTGAAGTTGGGTGGCTCCTACCCTCCGCCCTCCCTTAAACAACACACTGAAATTCATACCTCTGGGCACACTCCTTGACCTACATTTAGGGAGCTATACTGTGTCCTCTCCTGTAAACTGGCTTCCATCCCAACACTGCCTTTTTCCTGTGGCTGGTCATTAACCAGTTTGCACCACTGCCTGCTAATTAGAGCAACTTCATTTAGAACCTTCATCAGCTGTAAGGGCAAGTCATTCAGCATCTCTGCCGGCCTCAATTCTATCCCTATCATAAACAGAAAATAACTCACTGTTATTCTTATAATAACCCTGGGAGATACCCAAACCAACAGTCATGAGGAGCTCAAAACCATTAGCAGAAAGCACCCAGGAACAGTTCTTTCAAGAACTGGCTGTATTATAAATATGCAGCTGAGATTTTTATAATGCCATGCCACATGTAGATTTTGGAAAACACTGTCATTCCAAAACAGTCTTATAAATGGTATTAAAAATAAGCACAGAAGAAAAATGGGACAAGAGCTCAGGAGAGAAAAATAGAGGTTCAAACAAGTATCAGTTCCCCCAAAAACCTAACAAACTGTTTCCTGCCTCAATAAGCAGAAAACAGAAACCCAAAGCCTCTTCCAGATCTATTTAACCTGCTGCTGCTCCACAACTACTTCAACTAATTGAATAAAAGAACAGCTATATCAGGTTAGACCGAATGCCTCTATAGACCAATAGCTTGTCTCCAACATTTGAAAGTGAAGCCTATATAGGTCAGAGTAGACAAGTAGAGCCAGCAAGTAGTGACAGTCCCCTCAATCTCTAAACCACCACAATTTTTACCTCAATGATCTCCTGAGCCAGAAACAGCTTATTTGCATTCAACAGCCTTTACTTGAGCCTGATGCCATCAGAGATGCCAGCCAACACACACCAGCACTCAACAAACTCTCCTACCACCCAGCACTGATAATATGCAACTGCCACCTCTCTGCAACACAGGGATGGAGCCACATGGAGGAATTCTTCTACTTAGAGTGGAACAGTTTGACAAAAACCCTTTGAAAAATAAGCATTCAGAATAGGACAGACTTCTCCCAGAAGACTCACTAGTTGAGCATCCCCAACAGGATACACAGCTAGTAGAGTGAACTAAACATCTCCTGTAAACGAGGACATCTCTTGAGACCAAGGAATTTTCTGCCCAAGATAGAAATACTAATCTAGTTTTGTTCAGCTAGAGAAGCAAAGCCTTTCCTCCAGCAGTACAATCAGCTGGCCAACATCTCATCACAGCTGGGGGATGTATATCTGGGATTAGAATTGTACCTCCAAATTCCTACCTCTTTTTTCCCCTTCTCTTTTTCTGGGTGACAGTTAGGCAAGAGATTTCTAATTGTGTAAGGATCACTGTTCTAGGAAGAAACATTAATCCCACAGTCAGCTCCGCATGCAGTGCTTTAGACTGCTAAAATCAACCAATTAAATAACAAAAACAGAAAAAAAAGAAATCTCCACAACACTGCTTTTGAACAATGCCCATAGGGCAACATTTATTTGATGAGTGTCAGAGCTGAAGAGTTCTGGTTGTGCTTCTAAAAATGAAAGCAATCACCACTTAAAATATTAAGCGTAAAAAGAAAATTTTCCCTTTAAAAACCTGAATAATACAGATGTCTTTTTTATCTAAAGTGTTCCTTTCAAAATCAAAAAGCGTTAGATACTCTTTTATGACTTTCACTTTGAACCTGTTACTACAAAAACATTTGGCCAAGTTCAAGCGCTCAAAGTTCCCCGCTACAGCAAAACACAAATATTTTTTAAAAATTAAGTCACACATATCATTTTAACTGTTTCAGAACACACATATGTTTAGGAAACAAAGTTAATTATCCCAGCACCTGCATATTTTTGTCTGCAAAATTCTCTGATATTGAGGGGGTGAAGGGAGGGAGGGGGTCACCACAACCTGCTCCAATTTGCAACACTGTAAACCCAGAGCACCTCTACCAATGTCATTGCATTTAACTGAGATAACACCTTTGCAATAGGTCAGAAAGAGAGGGCACAATCCCTAAACAAAGCATTACCTTGTATTGCTTGCCTGCAGAAAGGAAAAGGAATCAACAACAAAAACAATACAGCACTAAGGAAAGTCATCTTAGCGATACACTTTACATCCTGCTGTCCAATGACTTCCACATCCACAACAGCATTCTGCACTTCGTATGGAGCTTCAAGATTGTTTCTTGTGTCACACAAAACAACACACCAAAACAAACAAGGCAGCAAAGGAGAAAAGATACAGCACAATCAGAACAGAGCAAAAGGAAGGGCAAACAGACAGGAAAGAGCAAGAGTGAACAGCCAGAAAGGAAAGCCTGAATGAGAGAGCAAACAGCAGAGATTCAAGGGGACAGGTGGCACGACATGAAATGAGCTATTTCTCCCTTTTATGCAAGCAGCTCATTTTTTGGTTTTATATTTTGTTAATTAAAGTTGAAAGACTACCATGGGACACCCAAAGCTGTCAGAAGCAAAGATGGATTGATTTCAGTACTATAACTATTCATTAAGCCTTTCAGTGTCACCAGGAAATTGAAACTTGCAAACTACTGTGATAAACACACCAGAAGGCTCTGGTTGACAGCTATTACAAGCAGACAGTTTCAGAGACAAAGCCAGAATAAAGTACATTTTTGCCAATGTGACAGAGCAATGAGAAGACCAAATTAAGACAACTCCAATCGTGAAACATCAGGAGTCTCTCAGCTAGAACAAAGGACACTGGTTCTGAAGAAGCCCTTGTAGTCACATAAGGCAACACTGGACAGAGAGCAAGTCAGGGCGAAGTGCTTAGTCATCTGAGCATGTACACAGGTAACCAAACACGCACACCTTGCTGGGCACAAAGAGCTGTGACATCAAAAAGAGAAAAAAAAAAAAGGAAAAAAAAAAAAAAAGGATGACTTACCAGATTTGGAATAGAGCACTAGCACGTTATTCCGTGTCCTGAGAAGCTTTTTGAAATCCTTATGGTCACTAATTTTTTCTATGAGTGGAGACATCTTCAATGGGTACACAAACACTGGCAAGAATGCCTACAGAAACACAAAGCCAGAAACATTAGTTTCAGCTTCCATGCTGAGAAACAAAACACAATGACAAACTACTCTTGAAATTGCCTTGACCTTTTCCCACAATCTTGAGACATGCTGCCTTAAATAAACTATCATATTGATTTGACCAGCAAAAGCCAAAAAAAAAAAAAGGCAAGTCATACACATAGTTTATTGAAATTGGACCAGTACCACTCCCAGTAAGCGTCCTTAACTGGAAAGATGAGATAAACACAACATCAAGAAATATGGTTTTCATTAAGAAGCCATCCCCTTTAAAAGTTTGTTCCCTAGTCAGATAATCAGATAAAAATTCTTACGCAAATTTAATATACTGCAACAAGAGAAGCAACAAATTACCGCTTCGAGAGCACTCTTGTCCCTAGATCTCAGAATACTCTGCAAACTCAGTTGAGTACTTTGATATCCCACAGAAGACAGCGAGAGCCGTGAAATTAAAATAACTAATCCACACTGACACAGAGCAGATGAAGGAAATGAAAACAGAATTTGCAAGTAATTCAGCATCTGCATTACAGCACTAACCACAGCCCTCTCCTACCCAAAGTGGAACAGGGCTGGTGTTTCCCACTGGCTGTCCTGTACCTCACACACACACCAGTGCCTTTGCCACAAGATCAAATTTGGCTTCCACTGGCCACATGGAAGGCATGGCTTTTAACCTCTCTGCATCTCAGTTCTGTATCTATGCAAAGAATTTTGTTGTTGTTGTTGCATCTTTTAGCCTATTTAAATCATGACCGTTCCAGAACAAAGTCTGTCTTTTATCCCACCATAAAGTAAAACTCCTATCAAAATACAACCATAACCTTAACTGGGGCCTTCGCTATTCATTTGTAATGCAATAATCTTCAATAATAATAATAAAATAATAATAATCTTATCCATCATGCTATGCTGGATCCCTTCTGCACTGTACTAAATTCATACTAATGGTATGATTATGGGAAGCTAAGCTGGAGAAATTATCTAGTTTACATTCACCTTATAGTAAAACCTTAACACTTAATTGCCTGGCTAAAAGCTTCAGCTCATTTGCCTAACACACACAAGAGGTTCACCATTTTCTTAATTATAGAACTAATTTTGACCATGTCTCATTCCAGCTGGTTTGGAAAATGTGTCCAGGGTGGATGTGAAGAAGTAAGAGGCTGTTGCTCTTGCGTCCTGTATATTACAGATTGCAGCATTCAAAACAAGGCACTAAGCCAATCAAAGTCACAACACGCAGCCCCAGGCACTACACTTTTATTACAAATTCAGCTATTTGCAAACACCACGTCACTGAGGCACAGAAACAAAATCTGCACCTACAATGCATATTTTGTAAGTGCCAGTAGTCTCTACAGGTGGAAAGGGGAAGGGGAGTTTTGGAAAGCATGGGGTAGAGGGGAGAAGCTGAGCTGAAAAGGAGGTCATCCTCAAAACAACCCCAGGGCATGTTTGGGAATTTCGTTACCAGAAGATACACCTTCAACATAAAATATAAAGCACGACAGGCCACAGAGGCTTAGAGTGAATGAGTTATCCCACTCCACAGGCAGGATTCCCACCACTGAGCCCTGCTGACCAGATGGTCTAACTGTGAGAAGGGAAAAAGCACATTTGAAAGTCAGTCCCTACCTCCAGCATAAACGTCCTTGATGCTTTAATTCAAGCAACAGACTCGCATCCTTCTAAATCCAGATGTCCAGAGCTCAGCCTTCCTACTTCAGGCTGTTGCATGTGAATCATTTGTGTATTTTCTGAGATAAATACATGGTGTTGCCAATCAAAGTAGACAAATATAGTTGTGCTAAGTGAGGTGACACAGACATGCAAATTCCTGCTCAAAACTCATCACAATCAGAGGCTGTACAGGAGGGATTAATCTAGCATTGATTTAGGATTAGAGAGATCTGCTCATAAGTATTCTTTTTTTTTACTTTTTCCTTCAGCTTAATTTTTTTTAACTATCCAAGTGTCTTAAAGTTTTATTTATGTCTTGAGTTATAGGAGGCTAAACCTAAACTTCACTGAAACTAAGGCTGAATACAGCAGGAAAAAGAAAAACTACAGGTTACTTCTTTTAGAAGCTTTCTTTGTTTAGAAAACTGGACTCAAATAAGGATATTCTAGTCTATGAACTCACTGCCAGAAAGAAAGAATTGGACTAAAAAAGCCACAAGGCCACGTTCAACGTGACACCAAGTGGGATTAAGGACTTTGTTTAAAGCATCTGTACAGTTTTAGACATGCTTCCAAACTCTTGGTATTTCATGTCTTGCCTGGATGGAAAGGCTATGTTTAGCCAATTTCAGTGCTTTTAAAAAAAAAAAAATTATTATTATAATGGCAGAGCTATAAAGCTCTTGAAAAACTGGATTCTGGAAACAGTGACAGCTTCAGCTCCTGCCTTGTCAGTGTTGCTGCTAACAGAAAATTCACTGCACCAGTGGAACAGCAGGCACTTGGAGGGAGAAGCACGTCGCATTGCACACATCCACTGCTACTTTGCCCAATTCCTCTCCAGGTATCAAATCAACATATTTTACTCATTTTCCTCCAGTTTTACTACAGCACCTCTCTCCGATCCTATGGTTTAGACCAAAACCCACTGGGAAAGGCATTGTGCATACAAGCGCACCAGTCAGCCCTGCCAAATAAATCATCATCTCCCTTTAATTAAGATTAATGTTGCAGCCTTTCCTGGTTATAAAACCCAAAAGGTCCAAGCTGAAAACATCAAGTTGGACAGAAACACCCTGCCTGCACACCTAAGGCAGCTGCTGCAATACTGGGAGGTTATCACCTGAGCTGAAAGCTTCACCACCTCACAGTACGCATTTGCAAACTGGTGAGAATTAA